AATTATCAATGCCTTTTAGTAGCCAGAAGCCACCAACTCTCTTAGAATCAAGAAAGAGGGCTGGGGATTTAGCTTAGTGGTTCTGCCATCTGCCTCTAAAGCCCAAGGACCCAAGTTCGATCCCTAGTACTAAAAAAAAAAAAAAAAAAAATCAAGAAAGAGCACTCTGCCTTTTACAAAGGAGTAAATCCTCAAATTGAATATGATAATAATTAATATATAATAATGAATCCAGCCTAGTTTATTTTTATACCAACATGGTCATAAAATGTTTTTAAGGTTTTATGAAAGAATGGATATGTCCCTTAAACACCTGCCAAGTTTAGACTGGTCTAAAGAGGGTTCTAAAATAGGCAAAATGATGATGTCCTGCCTCCCAAGCTACTCCTACACTGCCCTTTTACTTCCACTTGCTGATTTAGAGCAAACGTCACAACTTTAAGAGGGTTTTTTGAACAACCAACTTTGATTTTATATTATATAATATATATATATATACATGTGTGTGTATATATATATATATATGGCTTGTTTATTTTTCACACAGACACACACATATACACACACACACACACACATCATAAGTCTAACTCAGATTTCTTTGCACCTCAACTCATATACAAACTAATGAAGTCAAAGCAACTAACAGCACAAGATCACACCTGCACGGGACAAATTAAGATCCAGCATGAGGTAACTCTCCTTGGGGAACACAGTCTCACTTCTGAGGCACTTGCAAATCACACACAAACGCCTATTGCTTACACTTATCACACCAGATGGCAATGCTTTTCACTGATTGATTGAGATCAATAGTGCTGACTGCTTGGCTGACATCAAGTCAAAGGCTGACCTTAGCCCACACTTGTCAAGCTATAACGTGAACTCAGGAAGACAGCAAGACAGACTTCTCCAGCTGCATACTTTGTTCAGAGTCTGATATTTTCTGTTTGATACAACTTACGTGGGAAAAAGTAAAAACAGCAGTTTTACAGCAAATTTGGCCTATTCTGTGGACATATAGTAAGAAATTATGCTATCCAATGTGTTTAAGCTGGTGCAAACTAGCCAGGGATGCCAACCAATCTCCATTTACACTTGTGTTACCAGATAGAACCAGAGAGGTCCCTGCAAAAAGAAGATGGGATCCTCTACTCACCCCTACTACCTACTACCGAAGTAGGAAAAGAATTACACGATTTGTCAGTGATAGGAAGGGCAGATTAAGTAATCAAAGCAGAATCAAAGTACACATTCAGAAGGAATGTGTGTGTTTCAGAGATGAGGTGCGTTATGGTCTGGGCTGTGGGTATTTGTGGGCTCTTGTTGGTATCACACAGGGGGTCTGGAATGTGTTTTCCTAGTGTGTTAGATTACCCCTTAGGAGGCTACCTTTGAATCCAATTTATTTTCTTGTCTTTGAAGTATAGAGATGTGATATCTAAATAATAATGCTGTTTCTTTGCAAATGGAAGTCCTGGAATTTGTTAGTATACACGATCTTATCAAAAGAAAACCATGGGTCTAATTTATAGGTTTATTGTATCTTTTAAGACTCTAGGAATTTGGGAGTAAGTAGGCTCCTAAGGAAAAATATGCTTGGGGTGAAAAAGAAAAGGCATTGGAATCTTGGATAATTTTGATGGTGTCTTAAAGCTGCCAGTTTATAAAAATCCACTTTCAAAATTGCAATATTCCTCATTCCTTTCTACCTTTATTTCTTCTATCCTACATCACAAGCTTTGTTTTTTGATTAGTGCATTTCTAATTTTCACCTTGCATGTGACTTTATTATTTGTCACACACACACACACACACACACACACACACACACACACACACACACACACCTTACACACAGAGAAAAG